TTGTTAATCGAAAGCGCCGGGGCGCGCATTATTAAAGTTGGCACTAACGCTAAGCTAACCGCACAAGACCCTCGCCCGCGCGGCCCGCCAACGGCCAGACCTTGCGGTTTTTGTTTCTTCTCACTACGTGCACACCAAGGTGAGCGTTAGTTTAGCTACTTACGTGCAGTTTTTTGCAAACTTGCACATTCCGACCCTAGTTGACGCGGCCGCTGAGCCAAACGTGTGGAAGTTTGTTCAGTGCAACGCGACATACACGGTAATTTCCGGTTCGAAAGCAATTAGCGGACCGACGACCGGATTAGTGTTTTTGGCGCCCACCGAATACGTGCCGCTTGCCGCTTTGCGGCTGGGCATTGCCCGCATTGCGAAAGTGAGTAAGGAAAATTTGGCCGGCCTAGTCGCTGCGGTAAGCGAGTATTCCATGCAACCAGCACCGACCGCGGCGGAAGCGCAAATTGAAGCGTACGTGGAGCAACTTCAAGCCATGGGGTGAAACGCTAGGGTCGCCACCGAAGCCCAGCGAGAAATAAAACGCATTCAAATTACTTCGCCGCGAATTAAGGCGCTCAGCGCTCACTTGCATGCGCACCACATTTTCGCGCGCGAATATAGCTTAGATAGCGGTTACATTGAATTTGATTTACGTCAAGTGTGCGAAGCAGAGATGACGTTTGTCTTGGACAAGATACGGGAGTTTTAAATGATTTATTTAAACTGTTTAGCTAAAAATTTAAAAAATGCGGCCGCAATTCGAGCCGCCACCAATAACAACGCGCTCATTGCCGTGCAAACAAAAAATTACGCGACACTCGCCGCGGCGCAGCGCGCGCTCACGCGCTGAAGCAAGGCGCTCGCGGGCGACATTTCGATTAGCCTAGGTAACGCCGACCCCAAGCAAGGCTTTTTTGTGCGCGACGTGGCGCGTCGGGTGTGGGCGCGGCACGTCAACCAAACTTTGCCGCTCGTGGGGGCCACAACTGTTGCTAGCAAAAACCCAAGCGCGATTGTCAACGGACTAATTTACCCGAGCGGCGTGGCGGGGCAAGTCGTGATTTCGACAGGCCCCTACTCAAGTCAGGGCGCGCCCATTCTCGCGCCCGTTGATTCGGCAATGCTTCTTATTAAGGAAATGGGCGGCCAAGCAGTTAAGTTATTCAGCATGGCTAAAATTAGTAGCGAAGCAGAATTTCTCGCCGTGGCGACCGCGTGTGCACGGCACGATTTAATTTTAGAAATTACCGGGGGACTCAATTTAGCTAACATTGAACCGTGAATTAAGTTAGCGCGGGCCGCGGGAGTCAAAACACTCATTCCCCACGTTTATACGGCGCTGCTTGACCCGATTTCGGGACAAACCGACGTTGCGAAAGTTAAGGCTTTATGAACCATTTTGACGAGGCATTATGCCCCCTAATTTTTTTCTGTACGGCGAAGTGTTATTGCGCTACGATGTCACTAGTAGCGATCGCGCGCAGCTTTTTCCGGTTGGCAGCGCACTCAACGTGGGCGCCACGCTCACGGCTTTAACGCCAAGCGCTGTGCATCTTCTTACGGCCTTGTCGGCAACGCGCGAAAGTCATTTGGTGCAAGACTTTTGCGCGCAAAAGCATTTAAATTTACGCTACGCGTATGTTGCGCCGGGGTTTCTTGGTAGTTATCACCTATACCGTTCCCCAACGCTTTTTCATTGGCAAGTCGTTTACAACCGGATGCACACGCCCTGAAGCGCACTGATGGCCACCGCGCGGCCGTTTGCCAAAGCGCGCGCGGCGCTGGCAACGGGCGATTACTTTTACTTTGACGGCATTTCGCTTTTGACCCACCCGCGCGGGTGGTTGCACCTCGAAGCCATTATTACGCAACTAAGCGTTCGGCACATCTTAATTTGTTTTGATTTTAATTTACGCGCGACCCTTGCGCCGCGAACCGAACTTATGCGCACCAAATTACTAGCGCTTTTAAAAAAGGTGCACTACTTAAGCATTAGTTTAGCCGATGCGCAATGACTGCTAGGCGCAACGACGCTTTCGATGGCGAGTTTGGGCGATGCGCTAAGCGCGGCGCTTCCGCGCCTCATTGCGTTTTGGGGTTACACCAAAACGCTTACCCCAGAGGGCTTGACGATTAAACCGTATTATCACGCTCACCGCCAAATGCACACGGGTAAAGCGGTGCAATTCATGCCGCGCGAGCAAGTTGGCCTTGGCGATGCGTTTACAGGTTACGTGCTGGCGCAACTAGTTGCGGGGCAAGCGGTAGATTTAGCTCTAGCTACCAATTGGGTAATGCTCAAAAGCCAGTACTATGGCGACGCCAACGTACCGACGGCCGCAGAGCTCGCAAGTTTGACGAAAGGAGAAGGCGTTATTCGTTAACGCCAACATATGAAAGGACTATTACTTTGCATTGGCGGGCTATCGACATCGCTCATCGCACGCCGCATGACCGAATTACACGGCGCCGCGGGCGACACTTTTGTGGCGGGCTCGATTTTGACGGGCGACTGAATGGCCGACATGAATGAGTACGACGTATTTATTATTTCGCCCCAAACGGCGTTTCGCTATGCTGAAGTAGCGAAGGAAGTGGCCGAGTACGGGCGTGGTCAACCTGTTTACCAAATTCAGCCAAACGAGTATTTACCAAGTAAAGCGGAGGAAATTTATGCCCACGTCAAAACCCTTTTTGCCCGTTAGCGCGGCGCTCGGGGTGGCGGTTTACCCGCATAAAGCCCCGCTTGCGACGATTAAAAAGTATTTAGCAATGTGTGCACAAAACCAAGTTACGCGCGTGTTCATGAATTTAATTGGGTTGCCGCCCACCGGGCTAGTTTCTTTTCAAGAAATTGCCGCTTTCGCGCGACAATTAGGATTGCGCGTCGTGGCGGATGTGGATGAGTCTGTGTGCGCGTTTTTTCATAAAACCGTCACCGACACACCTTTTTGACTTGAACTAGGAGTCACGGGCTTGCGCCTAGACGTGAAGTTTCCCCCGGCGGCCATTGCCGCGCTCACGCTCACGCCGGGCGGCTTAGAAGTGGAAATTAACGCTTCTGATTTTTCGCATTTAATTGACGAAATTACGGCCCACCCGCACGACGCGCACCGGTTGCGCGCGTCGCACAATTTTTACCCGCAGCGTTTTACGGGCCTTAGCGTTGCCAAGTGACAAGCTGCTAACGTGCTCCACGAAGCGCACAACGTTAAAGTGAGCGCCTTTGTTACTCTCGGTCGCTCAAGCCTAGGCGCGTGGGATGATCATGAAGGCGCACCGACGCTAGAAATTTGTCGCGACTTAACGCTTGCTCAGCAAGTTAGCTTACTAAGCGCGCTAGGGCAATTAGACTGCCTATTTGTGAGTGAAATGTTTGTTTCGCAAGCGCAGCTCCAAGCAATTAACGCGCTAAAGCCTAATCACTACGAGCTGCGTTTAGTTAGCAATGCTTTGCTAAGCGCTACCGAACAAGAAGTGCTTCACTACGCCCACCACGCGCTGCGGGGGGATAACCCCGATGCGGTCATGTTTCGCTCGACAATTAGTCGCAAGGTGTTCAAAACAAGCGACATTCCGCCACGCGCTTACGCCCCAGCAGTTTACCCGGCCGGTAGCGTTTTAATTTTAAACAATGCGGCCGGCCGCTACAAGGGCGAAGTGCACGTGCTCCGCACCCCCCTTCCCGCGAGCGCAAGCAAGAATTATGTGGGTCATTTACTTTCCGCTGACGTTGCGCTTTTGGACCACCCCGTCCACGAGCTTACTTTTAGTTTTCACTTCGAAACCTAAGGGGCTTTGCGACTATAATTGCGGGATGAATGTTGCTGCGCTGCTCAAGCACCCCCATGAACAAACGGTTGACAGTTTAAAAGGGTGGGTCATTTTTAACCGCGGTAACAATAAGGTGCGGTTTATCACTTTTAACGATGGGTCAAGCTTTGACCACTTACAAGTGGTGCTCAAGGGTGAGCTGGCCACTATTTTTAGTGATGCCCGGAGCGGCGCGGCTGTCGCCTTTGCGGGCACGGTGCACTTGACACCCACTAACTTGCAACCGCTTGAGTTACTTGCCACTAGCGCTCAAATTTTAGCCAACGCTGATCCTGATTTTCCATTGCAAAAACAAGAAATGTCGCGGGAAGTGTTGCGCGAAATGCCCCATTTGCGCCACCGTACCCAATTTGGTCGCGCGGTGATGCGGGTGCGCAGCGTGCTGCAATTCGCGATTCACCAGTGATTCAACGCCGCGGGGTTTCTGAACGTCACGGCCCCGATCATAACAAGTAATGATGGCGAAGGGGCCGGCGAAACGTTTTTTGTTGATGCGGCCGAACCAAATTTTTTTGGCAAAATAGCCACCCTGGGAGTGACGGGGCAGCTGCACGCAGAAGCGTACGCGACAGGCTTTGGCCGGGTGTACACCTTTGCGCCGACTTTTCGGGCAGAGCGCTCGCACACGACGCGCCACGCCGCCGAATTTTGGATGGTCGAGCCAGAAGTTGCTTTTGGTACGCAGCACGACGGGATTAAGCTTGCGGATGATTTGATCCGCTTTGTCGTGCGTACCGCCCTTAACGAATGTGCCGCGGAGCTTGCCTACTTGAATGACTTAAACGCTAAGGCGCTACTACCCCGGCTCCAGCAGTTTCTTGACCACGGGATTAAAATCATCGAATACACACAAGCGCTCACCATTTTAAACGAAGTGCGCGAGCGGTTCAAGGAGCAAAATTTTCATTTCGGGGCGGACTTAGCGACCGAGCACGAGCGCTATCTCGCGGAAGTTTACGCGCAGGGGCCAATTGCGGTGATAAACTACCCCCGGGAAATCAAAGCGTTTTACATGCTTCTTAATGACGATCACAAAACAGTGGCGTGCTACGACATTTTAGTACCCGGCATCGGGGAGCTCGTTGGCGGGTCAGCGCGCGAAACTAACATCGCCAAATTAACAAAGCGCATGCAAGAGCTAAATGTGCCGGCGGCAGACTTGATGTGGTATTTGAATTTACGTCGCTTTGGCGAGGCCGCTTCGGTGGGCTTTGGTCTTGGCTTTGAGCGGCTGGTGATGTACGTTACGGGCGTGGAAAACATTCGCGACGTCATTCCGTACCCGCGTACACCCAACAATCTTTTATTTTAGTCGCAACGTGAAACGGGCGCCCAAATTGCTATCACTATAATTAGAGCATGGCCACACCAATTAGCGCCCGCTCAATTAAACGAAACTTGGAAGACGTTAAAGCCAAGTTAGAAACGACAAAAACGCCCTCGCTTTTGCAACTACGCAAGTATGTGAGCGTGCAAGCTGATTACTACCGCTACGTTGATGAATCTGAGCAAGGCTCTGCCGAAGCTTTTTTAACCAAGCACATTGTCGCCGCCGTGCAGGATAAGCGCCTTGCGCTCAGCATTATTAAATTAGCCTTGCAGTGCGGGTCGCTATCGTTTTTTCAAACTGCGCTTTACAACTACGCGAGCACGCTAATACCCAACCCGGCCGCGCTAAATTACCAACTACGGGAAATCAACAACGTCATTCGCGAAACTAAGAGTGACAAAATTAGCTCGCTAGCGCCTTTTCTTGAAGCAGTCGCCAAACTTTTTGTCGTGGAGCCAACTAATTTAACGGTGCCTACTCCTTCTCCGCTTTCGGCGCGCGAAAAGTTTGAAAGCGCACTAGCAAATGAAGATGCGGTGGAAGCGTGAGACGTTTTTAATACCTTTAAAACTAGCGACGCCAAGCAGCACCGGGGCGCTTACCGGCTTGCCCTTTTAATGCTCAATGACGCTAATTACACGCAAGCACTAGAAGCGATCGATTACGCCCTCGCGGCGCAGCCAAAAAACCTTACTTACTTGCAGTGCAAGGCTTCAGTGCTTCGCGCCGCCGATGATTTACTCGCGTGACGACTTTTTGTCACGGCCCACCCCGAAATAAAGCTTAGCCCCACCGATGCGGCCTTTTTAGCTAGCTTACAAAACACCGCGCCCGTGCCCCCGGTGGTGAGCGCTAGTTTACCCGTAGCGACAAGCCTTATTCCCCTCGCTATTTTGCCGCGAAGCAAGCCGCAGGAAGGATCGACTGAAGGCAAAGCGATTGATAAGCAAGATGCGCACGACATAAATCGGCGCGCGTTTTACAAGGAACTCGAAAAAGCCGATGTGCTCTCTTACAAGCCGATCATTAAACGCTACTTAAATGAGCGTCAGTTTGATTACCGGTGGCGGGTAACTAGTCAAGAATCGATTGAACTCATTGAAAACAAGTTTGCAATAGACTTGAAATACTTGGACATGCGGTTGCGGGAATTAATTTTGCCCTACATTATTAAAATTGAAGTTGGGTTCCGGACGCTTTACCAAAAGTTTATTGGTCCTAACGACGCTAATAGCGTGGTTTTTCAAAAAATTGCGGATAAGTTTGATGAAGAGTTTCGCGTCATTTTTGATGACGCGAGAATTCATCACCCCTTTTTGAAAAAAAATAAGCGCAACCTTCGGAAATTTCGCGCGCTACAAATGTTCATGTTTTTTCAAATTCGTAACTTTCTCATGCACGGCGGGCGCAACCTTTTTGATTTTGCGCTTAGTCACAAGGCGCGCCGAAAAATTGCGCAAATTCAGCATGGGTTTGATGCGCCTGCGCAAGTTGTACCGGTTGATTGGAGCGGCATCGGGGACGTTTACGACGAGGACAATTTTAGTGAAGCTACCACGGAACTGCAAAAAATGCAAACCGAGCACAAAGACGACGACATGCTCGACATGTTTTTTGAAATCCCTTTTCTTAAAGACGTGATGACACCCGCCGCGCGGGCTAACCAACACTTTTTTGGCATCATCATCCTCTTTTTATTTTTAGCCAACGAGCGCCCAGTGTTTTTAAACATTGTGAGCAACATGGATAGTTACCTAAATGAATACCGCGTGGCCAACTCGTTCGGGGCGCGCAAAACTTTTTACGAAGCGCTCGGCATTGACGAGGACTGGGTGGTCAAAGTCATTCGCAACCATAGCGAAATCAAGTAAGCGCGCATTAGCATAATATATAATCGTAAAGTTAAATCCATGGCAACAAAATTTTTCGGCGAGCCGCTAATCGAAGGATTTGATCTTATCAAAACTTTTGGCAAAAAACAAGTGCTCAAAAATGTTTCCTTTCAAATTAGCGCCGGTTCCTTTCACGCGCTCGCGGGCGAAAACGGTTCGGGTAAAACTACGCTGATTAAAATGCTCATTGGTGCATACCCGCCAAGCTCTTATCGGGGAGCAATTAAAATTAACCCCTCAGCATGACTGGCTTGTGCGTACCACCCCCAAAACATTTTGTTTCCGACGGGCATGACGGTAGAGCGATATTTGTTTCAAATTGCGCGTTTACTCACAACCGATGCCAATAGTGCTTGGGTCAAGGTAGACGCCGCGCTTAAAGCCATTGAAAAAAAAAAAAAAAATTGAAAATCTTCGTAAATCTTTTCGCCAACACTTGTCATCTGGTCAAAAAAAGAAGGTTATGCTTGCAAAAGTAGAAGTTGAAGAGCCTAATTTGATTATTATGGATGAACCGGCCACAAATCTTGATTTTACGACCCGCAGTTTTCTTAACGAAAAGCTCATTAAATATAACAAAAAAGGAGTTACAGTAATTATCATTTCCCACCTTGTGAAAGAAATAGAACCGCTAATTAACGAAATTACGATCCTTCATTACGGGGAGATGCGAAAAAATCAAGCGATTTCAATCGGAACTTTGAGTGCCGTTTATGAAGAAGCAGTGGCCAAAAAGGCGGCGTAAATGATTAATTCAAAATTTCCACCCCTATTTAAAATGCAAAAAAAGTTACCGCGCGGGGCGCAAGCGGCGATCAATAATGATTTGCACGTTTCGCGCATTCGGAGTCAATTTTTGCCTTTTTACCGATTTTATTTTTTTTACGCAACACGCAATTGAATGTTTTGGACACTGGCCGCGGTTTTAGCATTGGCGCTTGTGCTAGTTCCCGGCGTGCTATTTGGCATTAATGGCAAAGACACCGCCCTTACACACTCATTAATTATTTACGCCCCGTTTTTCGCTACTAACATTGCAATTCCGGCGCTTCTTAGTTGGCTTCTTTTTGCAAAAACGCAGCGCGATGGCACGGCGCTTTTCGTGCGTTCGCAACGCTTGCGCCGCCATTATGACTTCACTATAAAACTGGGAGTAATTGGCAGTTTAAGTTCCGTCTTTGTTTTAGTTGGCGGCTTAGTCATTTTAGTCACAAAGCTCGCGACGCAAGTCGATAGCGAAGACGTAGCGGCCGCTTTTTTTCTAAGCCTAATGGCCGGGCTTTTTGAAGTAGGTTTTTTTGCTAGTGTTTTTGCCTTAATTAGTATTGCTTTGCCGCTAATTGCGAGCATTGTTACCGTTACTATTGCCACGCTCCTGCTAATTATCACGCCATTCATCACGAGCCTTATTCCTTTTGGCCAAACCAATCAATTGGCGTGAGCACCTAATAGCAATCAAGTTAATTATGCTAGTGTTTACCAAGTTGACCAAAATCAAAACGTGGTTGATTATCGGCTGGCCGTATTTAACCAAGGTGATGCAGGTGCCAATTACCAACAAAATTTGTCCCACAAAAGTTCGTTTAACTTGGCGCAGCCCCGGGATGTCGGAATATTCGTGGACCAATTTGCAACTGCGCCACTTCGCGCTTTTTTGGCTCCAACAGTCAACCCGCAGGCAGCAACTATTGAACGAGTAGCTAGTGCAATAGAATGGGGGCTTTATCCAATTAACGACCAAGTTGTAGGTGATTCGCGACTACTAGATAGCTACGAAACTAACCCGCTTGTGTATGCCCCGCTTGACCCCAACCCGCTTCGGGCTAGTTTTGACGAAGTAGTGCAAGCATGAGCTAATCACTTGCAAAGCGCCCCGGCTTCCGATAACTTTCTCAATTTAGCTAATGAAGCAACTGTGCAAAGTTGAACAAGAAGCTTAAAATCTTTGAGCAGCGTTTGACAAGGCAATAACTTTCCCGAAAACAGCAAGGAACGCAATACGCTTTATTACTTGCTCGGTCTTACCCCGCGCAACCCGCTAATTTTTTATCTGGTTCGCGACTATAGCGCCTTAAGCGCTAAGTTCGCGACTTTTTTACCGGCGCTACGGGCGGCAAAAGTTAGCAATGCGCTTGTCGAACTTGTTGAATTTTTACTCACAAGCCTAGTGGTGCGCGCTAACGTTTTTTACGGTAGCAATGATTCAAGCGCTCCTTTCCCGGCCGCCACAATTCGCGCTCTTTATCCCACGACACGGTTTGCCAATCCTAATAAAAAGGCGCTAACTGCAGACATTAATGCCATGCATAATCTTATCAATAACATTATTGTCGATTCTCAGTTTGGCCGTCTTGTGAGCGTTGATATTCAAGTGAATGACGCTAGTGACGCTTATCGGCGCGTTAGTGCTGCGGGATTCCCGGTGGCTAACGAGGGCGTCACTTCAAAAGAAGCGTGAGATCTTTTTGTCGACACTAATAACACGCTTGGTTTACTAAAAAATAGTTATGACGCAATCAACACTTGGTTAGTGGCGAATAACCCCAACCTTCGGCTTCGTACAATTAATTTTGGCGAAAACGACCTTTCGCTAACAAGCTTTAACGAAGTGATTAATTTGAATGTGGCAACAGCTAGCGTAGTTACACCAATTTTTATGATTACTTTCACGCTTTTGGGCTTAGCAACGCTGGGCGCCGGCTTTGTTTTGAATCACCGATTGTTATTAAAGTAAAACGTTGGTTTTAGTTAAAACCTATTACAATCTTGGTGCGCGTGCGATTAGGATGCAGCGAATGACAAGTTAGGAGCAACTTGAATAGTTTACGGTTACGTTTTAAATCTCTTTTGCGAAGAGCGACTTTTTTCGTTGGTTCTTTAGGCATTGTAGTTTTACCCGCTTCCATTGCTATTAGTTGCGGCGCTGCGACAACGTCTGAGTCGGCGATTAAGTTTGGGGGATTAACCTTTAACTCAACGGGCGATCTAGCTAATTTTTTAAAGGATAGAATACCCACAGTTTCAACGGCAGGCAAAGAAGCGCGTTGGCAAATTGATGTGGATGGTACAACGAGCACTTTTGACGATATT